GACACAGACACGACACACCACAGACACACGACAGACTACACACAGAGGACACACACCGACACACACAGACACACACGATGACAACACAGACACGCACGACACAACAGACACCACACCAGACCACAGACAAGACACACACAGACACAACACCGACACCCCCAGACCCCCCCTAGATACACACAGCCACACACAGCTACACACCCAGGGACACCACAGACTACACACAGGACACACACAGACACACACGACACCACAACAGATACACACAGACACACACAGATACACACAGACACACACAGAACACACAGACACACACAGACACCCACAGACACACAGACACACACAGATACACACAGACACACACAGACACACACAGACACACACAGACACCACAGACACACACAGACACACACAGATACACACAGACACACACAGACACACACAGACACACACAGACACACACAGACACACACAGATACACACAGACACACACAGACACACACAGATACACACAGACACACACAGACACACACAGACACACACAGACACACACAGACACACACAGACACACACAGATACACACAGACACACACAGACACACACAGACACACACAGATACACACAGACACACACAGACACACACAGACACACACAGACACACACAGACACACACAGACACACAGAACACACAGACACACACAGACACACACAGACACACACAGACACACACAGACACCACACAGATACACACAGACACACACAGACACACAGACACACACAGATACACACATATACACACAGACACACCAGACACACACAGACACACCAGACACACACAGACACACACAGACACACACAGATACACACAGACACACACAGACACACACAGACACACACAGACACACACACACAGATACACACAGATACACACAGACACACACAGACACACACCAGACACACACAGACACACACAGATACACAAGACACACACAGACACACAGACACACACAGACACACACAGACACCCACAGACACACACAGATACACACAGACACACACAGATACACACAGACACACACAGACACACACAGACACACAGACACACAGACAACACAGATACACACAGACACACACACACACACAGAACACACAGACACACACAGACACACAGACACCACAGACACACACAGACACACACAAACACACAGACACACACAGACACACACAGACACACACAGCACACACAGACACACACAGATACACACAGACACACACAGACACACACAGACACACACAGACACACACAGACACACACAGACACACACAGATAACACAGATACACACAGACACACACAGACACACACAGACACACACGACACACACAGATACACACAGACACACACAGACACACACAGACACACACAGACACACACAGACACACACAGACACACACAGAAACACACAGACACACACAGACACACACAGAAACACACAGACACACACAGACACACACAGACACACACAGACACACACAGATACACACAGACACACACAGACACACACACAGACACACACAGACACACACAGACAACACAGACACACACAGACACACACAGATACACACAGACACACACAGATACACACAGAAACACACAGACACACAGACACACACAGATACACACAGACACACACAGACACAGACAGACACACACAGACACACACAGACACACAGACACACACAGACACACACAGACACACACAGACACACACAGATACACACAGATACACACAGACACACACAGACACACACAGACACACACAGACACACAGACACACACAGACACACACAGATACACACACAGACACACACAGACACACACAGACACACACAGACACACCAGACACACACAGACACACACAGACACACACAGACACACACAGATACACACAGACACACACAGACACCACAGACACACACAGACACACAGATACACACAGACACACACAGACACACACAGACACACACAGATACACACAGACACACACAGACACACACAGACACACACAGACACACACAGACACACACAGACACACACAGACACACACAGACACACACAGACACACACAGATACACACAGACACACACAGACACACACAGACACACACAGACACACACAGACACACACAGACACACACAGACACACACAGATACACACAGACACACACACAGACACAGAACACACACAGACACACACAGATACACACAGACACACACAGACACACACAGATACACACAGACACACACAGATACACACAGATACACACAGACACACACAGATACACACAGACACACACAGACACACACAGACACACACAGATACACACAGACACAACACAGACACCACACAGACACACACAGACACACACAGACACACACAGACACACAAGACACACACAGACACACACAGACACACACAGACACACACCAGACACACACAGACACACACAGACACACACAGACACACACAGACACACACAGACACACACAGACACACACAGATACACACAGACACACACAGACACACACAGACACACACAGACACACACAGACACACACAGACACACACAGACACACACAGACACACACAGACACACAACGATACACACAGACACACACAGACACACAGACACATACTGACACACACAGATACACACAGACACACACAGATACACACAGACACACACAGACACACACAGATACACACAGATACACACAGACACACACAGACACACACAGATACACACAGACACACACAGATACACACAGACACACACAGACACACACAGACACACACAGACACACACAGACACACACAGACACACACAGACACACACAGACACACACAGGAACACCACAGACACACACAGACACACACAGACACACACAGATACACACAGATACACACAGACACACACAGACACACACAGACACACACAGACACACACAGACACACACAGACACACACAGACAGTTTGAGAGCAGAAGGGATGAATGATTTAGAAAAGCGATTAGTCCTCTGAGCAGGTCGAGCATATCTTCGCCCTGATGGCAGTCAGACTGCTGACAATGAACCCCACGCTGTCGCACACTGCCTAGCTGTTGTCGTGTGCTGAAGCGCAATTCTGTATTCACTGTGTTTATTATTATCTGTGTATTTATTCCTATTTATACATTTCCCGTCTATTTACCTTCATTTTGTATCATTTATTTTGGTACATACTTCTGATAATTGTGTACGTAACTGACTGTTTGCACTCCGGTTAGACCCTCCTTACATCTCGTTACACTGCTTGCATTTTCTAATGACATTAAAGTAATCTAATCTAATCATCATTTTAACAACAACATTTACACTGCAGTCTTTTCTTCCACATTTCTTAAAACCTTACAGAAGGCTGTTCAACAACACACGATTCAAAGGTTTTATTGTCATAACAGGGGGTCCGCGGGGTCTTAAAAAGTATTAAAAGTTGATAAATCAATTTAGCGAAAATGAAGGCTATTAAAAAGTATTAAACGGTATTTTCCAAGGTTTTACATTTTGTAGCTTGTCTTCAATAAGTATATAAATTGTCCAAAGAGGTTGTATTCTACAGTCTGCCTGAATGTAATCATTGCGTATGTGTGTAGTGTGATTCTGTGTAGTTTATTTCTGGCATCCCGTTGGATTTGACGTCATCTGAACAGGACATCGCACGCTCACTGCTTGATAGCGCGAGAAGCTCCGTTTACGCCGGTTGCTAAGCAACATCGTTATGGGGAAATGCAAGTTTGCGTCCAAATGGTTGGAAGAGAAGGAGCAAGGACAATCAATACTGTATATAGTCAATGTGAGGTAAAGTGTGTCGCCAAGGTAACCGGTTAAAACTCCAAGTGGCGATGAGGTCTTAAAATGTACGGAAAGGGTCTTAAAAGGTTTTACATGTGACTTCAGGATTCCTGCATGTGCTCAAAGCTACAGTGTAGAAATGGCAATGAAAATCTTCTGACCCGAGCTCCTCCAACAATGCAACATGTATAATAAAATACAAATGAAACAGTAGTGCAAAAAGTCTATATACGTGTCAGTAGAATATGGGATATGTACAAGAACAGAATATGACATTAAATAATGTAAATTAAGACAAAATGAAATACGGTACAACAGGGTCAACTTGTGTTTAAATTGTACAATGCACGACCAGTCGATAAGGTTTTAAAAACCACTTCTGAAGAGGGTAAGCAGAGTCTTACAGAATTAAATAAGCTACATCGGTTCTCCAGATGTTTCTCACTCTGCCAGAGCATCACTGGCCCAAACCCAGAGGTGTGACACTCTCAGCACTCTGGCGTCATGTTCCTGTCCACACTGTCCAACATGTAGATCCCAGGACGTCCCGTTAGCATCTACATCCGCCTGTAAACGGACAGAGTGCCAGCCTCTCTCTCTGACCCTGGAGGTTTGAGAATAAGGATGTGAGAAGCATCGTCATGGCCTTACGTGATGTGTGCACACAACTGCAGACAGAGCAGATTCACACGCTCTGTACGACGGCACCTCAGCAGGTTGTTTACCGGGTGTAAAAAAGTAGTTTGTACGGTACATTGCAACCTGTTTTCTCCAAATGGTTGCTCAGGATTAGCTTAACTCAGAATGTGTAAATACATGTTTGTATTATGGCTGTTGTGCCATAAAGACTTTGTTTTATTCTTAGAGTACATTTACATGATCTTATTGTACTTACTTTTTCGTTTATTGATATTTCTTTAAAAATTAATAAACAGACATTATGTCTTCCTTTTTTGTACAAGCTAATTCCTCTTCCTGTGTGTGTGTCCACAATATTCACCAAATGAAGTTCATGTATGTTCAAACCTACTTAAACGTTCACTGAAAAAAGACATTCCAAACGAACCCCTCACCTCCAGCTGCTTCTTTACACCTTGTTCCCTCTTCCAGCTGGGCTCTTCCCCGCTGCATCTGGCGGCTAAATACGGTCATCAGTCCACGGCCGAGGTGCTGCTGCGGGCCGGGGTCAGCAGGGATGCCCGCACCAAGGTGGACAAGACCCCGCTGCACATAGCCGCCTCAGAGGGTCACTACAACATCGTGGACCTGTTAGTGCAGGTGAGGAAACAATCAGAATACCTTTATTCGTCCCACAGAGGGGACAAGAGCCAACGACAGCTTCATGTTACCGAAGAAACTAGGAGAGTTGTCTGTATCTGACATCATTATCTTACATGTTGTCAACATCAAGGATCCTGTATGGGATATCGCAAACAAATCGTTATAGTTAACGAGACGGGCCTACAAAGGAATTTGTGCACTTCACGGTCTAAAGCAGGGGTCGGCAACCCCTGGCACGCGTGCATATCATCGAAATAATATGCTACAAAGGGACTGGCCATCTGTGTGTTGAACTTTCCTGTCGGCTCCCAGACGGCTCCCAGACCGTAGTCGAGGAGGGCAGGAGCAACAAGCTTCAGGTTCAATAACCCGCTTTAGCTCAAATGACTGGAGAGAGCCGAGCTCTTCTTGGGAGGCCGTTGCATTTATTTAGCTGTTCTTCTGTTTCATCACAGAGCTCTGTTTTTCTGCTTCCTCGTTCCACTTCCAGAAACAAACACACGTTCTCTCACTGTCGCTCTACCATCCACACACACACATGCACAAGCCACACCCCTCTCTCTCTCTCTCTCTTAAAGGGACAGCGATCTCATCTCACTCTGCATGACCCTAATATCATAACATGTGTGCTCTGGAGAATCACAGAACGGACGACCGTCCTTATTATTATGCCGTTTAAACTAATTATTGAAATGTGTTTGTTAAATTCGGCATCATGTAAGTTGCGCTGACAGGTCCACACACTGCTTCCCCGCAGCGAGGCTCCCCCGCCCTCCTGCTGATAGTTGACGAGCGTCAAGCTCCTCAACCCCCCGTTGATAATTCTCGATCGTTGGCACGCTGATAACTATTTTTTTTCATATCAAAAAGGTTGCCGACCCCTGGTCTGAAGTATACGGACACTGGAACAAAAAATATAGAATTAGAAATCCGTCTGCTTCTTCAGCACCACGGACAGCGCCATGGATTTCTCCCAGTTCCCTCTACTGCATATAGGGGGAGCTGGGAGAAATCCATGGCGCTGTCCGTGGTGCTGAAGAAGCAGACGGATTTCTAATTCTATATTTTTCTATGAGTCCTGCCCTTCTAGCAGTTTCATCTTGGATCTATAATATTCCCTAAACTAAATAGCAAGAGGGGAGGGGATGGATACGATTGAACCAAACTAATTGGGTTAGTTCCCTGTACATTTCTCCCCATTTCAAAGTCAAGGTGACCTGGCTGTTTGGATTTGCTGCTCAGTATAAAGCCATAGAAGCATTCGAAGGCCCACCACTATAACATTTGAGAGCACACTGATCTGAGATATGATTGGACATGTTTGCATTAAGTTTGTCCTAAGCGCTCTAGCCGAAACTATGAAAAACACAAATGGACATTCGCACAAATACTTTTGGATAGACAGTGTACGATATGAGAGTAAATTGGTCACAGATGACCTTACACTTACAGAACTATTTGAAGCTTGACGTGTGTTTCAGGGACTTCAGAGACACGGTTTTTAATCCGAATAATCGATCAGACTCAGAATACTTTATATGTCACGGGTTCAAATTGGGTTTTGTGACAGTTGCTACAGAGAGGTGAAGCCCCTCCCCTTCCGGGGGAGCTCCATGGGACCTTATTTAGGAAAAATCATGTATTGAAGTCAATGGGGAGAGAAAGATTATCTCTCGATCCCGTTTGAATTGTGCCACGAATTACACATATTAATTTTGCAAGTCAACAAAATTAAAGTAACACTTTTTTTTTTTGTGTGAACGGCTCAATGAACTACATCTCCCGTCTCGCTCCACACACCAAGACGGCCGTCACGTTGAACATTTCACTTCTTTCTTTCAGAACGAGGCGGAAAGTCTCAAAAGAGGTGAAAATCACTAAAAGTCTGGGCATGTTGAGAGCTGTGAATACACACAAGGGGAGTTAGTTGGTTCCTGAGAGCCAGCATGCGGGACCGGGACTCTGGGATTTGTAGTCTTTCTAGTTGCGTATTTTTCATAGTCTTATATTTCAACAGTTTTACGACAAACTGTGACTTTTTTGACATGGAAATGATTATTTAAGATTGACAAACATCTTTCATCTAATAATAGTAATCTTTCTCTCTCCATTGACTTCAATACATACTTTTTCCGGAATAAGGTAGATGGGCGGGACTTCGCCTCCCTATATTTTAGAATAAAACCAAAGTTTTATACAAACATAACAAGAAAATGGTGTAATAAAAAGGTACAATAAAGGAACAATATGTATATAAATATAACAAGTAAAAGTATGTAAGAAAAATAATTGTGTAAAAAGATGCCAAACTACTAAAAATAGATGCAACGAATCACAGAGACGCAAGATGACTAAAAGTAGTATCTTTACGTGAGTTGTTCTTACTGAATGTGGATATGATGTTCAGACAAACTTGTACAACCCTTCTTGTATAATTCAAAAAGATGGTGCATCATTTTAACAACAACATGTACAGTCTTTTCTTTCACTTCCACCTTTCGTAAAACCTTACAGAAGGCTGTTCAACATCACAACAGGGGCAGCTTGTGTTGAGATTGTACTATTCACAACCTGCCGTAAATTCACAACCTGCCGTAAATTCACAACCTGACGTAAATTCACAACCTGCCGTAAATTCACAACCTGCCGTAAATTCACAACGTTTCAAAACCTTGTGTTTCCTGCACTTTACAAACCTGGCAGATCTGCATAGTCACATCTTTGCTCACCACTTCCCTTTTGTTTCTATTTCTTTGTGTTCTTCCTGTTGTCACCACCGGGGGGCGCCGTGTGTCTGCAGCACGGAGCGGAGGTGGACGCCAGGGACATGCTGAAGATGACGGCGCTGCACTGGGCGGCTCAGCGCGGCCACAGGGAGGTGGCCGAGCTGCTGCTGAGGTACGGAGCCGACGTCCACTGCCTCAGCAAGTTCGACAAGACGCCCTTCGACATCGCCATGGATACCAGCAACACTGAGCTGATGATACTGCTACAGGTGGACAGACAGAGGGGGTGGGGGAGATGGAGAGAAGCAGACACTCAGACAGAGTTGAGCAGAGGAAAAGACAATGAGATGTCATAGAAAGACAAATGAAGGATATGGAGACAAGGATGGATGAAGATGGGGACGAGAGAAAGCAAAGAGAAAAGGGACATGATGACAAAGAGAGGGTGAGGAAGGGAAGACAAACGATGTAGGGGGAATAAATAAGGACAGAAAAATGAAAGGGACAGAAGGGATGGGGGTAATGACCGAGCACATTTCAGCCGAGGCAGGTACAAATGAAGACGGGAGGAGAAACGGCGGGAGAGATGGACAGATAGAGGGGCGCGTGGAGGACAAGGAGACAGATGGATAGATGAGCGGCTGCTGGGAGAGGCAGGGAGGGAGATGGACAGAGATTAAGGGGGAGAGTGAAACAGGGGGGAGGAGAAGAGCAATGGGGGAGCAGAGGAACGAGAAAAAGTCAAAAGAGTACAAGAGGAAGTGCAGGCGTAGACATGTTTGCACACTGCCCCCCTGTGACTTCAAAAAAACACGTTTGATGTTTTTCTGCTAGTCCAGTTTGACTCTTAGCGGCGTTGCTATGGTTCCCGTGTTAGTGCAGCCTCTTTCTGTCAGACAGCCATGTTGCAAACACTTCCTACCCGCATTTAGACACCATTTCACACAACGCCGGATCGTCTTTAAAAAACACTAGAGTTGTGATTATGGGTTATATGAAACAGTAGGAACAGTATTTGGAGAATGAGATTTAAAAAGGCTCTTCTACCAAACTTTAAAGGTCACCTATTATGCAAAGTCCTCTTCTTCGTGTCTCTTCTACATCAACATGTGTCCCCTCTTCTTCGTGTCTCTTCTACATCAACATGGTCCCTTTCTTCTCTTCGGTCTCTTCTACTCAACATGTGTCCCCTCTTCTCCATGTCTCTTCTACATCAACATGTGTCCCCTCTTCTTCGTGTCTCTTCTACATCAACATGTGTCCCCTCTTCTCCATGTCTCTTCTACATCAACATGTGTCCCCTCTTCTTCATGTCTCTTCTACATCAACATGTGTCCCCTCTTCTCCATGTCTCTTCTACATCAACATGTGTCCCCTCTTCTTCATGTCTCTTCTACATCAACCATGTGTCCCCTCTTCTTCATGTCCTTCTACATCAACATGTGTCCCCTCTTCTTCATGTCTCTTCTACATCAACATGTGTCCCCTCTTCTTCATGTCTCTTCTACATCAACATTGTGTTCCCCTCTTCTTCATGTCTCTTCTACATCAACATGTGTCCCCTCTTCTTCATGTCTCTTCTACATCAACATGTGTCCCCTCTTCTCATGCCTCTCTTCTACATCAACATGGTGTCCCCTCTTCTTCATGTCCTCTTCTACATCAACATGTGTCCCCTCTTCTCATGCCTCTTCTACATCAAACATGTGTCCCTCTTTATGCTACAACATGTGTCCCCTACTTCTTCATGTCTCTTCTCCATCAACATGTGTCCCCTCTTCTTCATGTCTCTTCTACATCAACATGTGTCCCCTCTTCATCATGTCTCTTCTACATCAACATGTGTCCCCTCTTCTTCATGTCTCTTCTACATCAACATGTGTCCCCTCTTCTTCATGTCTCTTCTACATCAACATGTGTCCCCTCTTCATCATGTCTCTTCTACATCAACATGTGTCCCCTCTTCTTCATGTCTCTTCTACATCAACATGTGTCCCCTCTTCATCATGTCTCTTCTTATCACCTGAATCTCCTCCTAGAGCACCATTGAGTTCTTTGTAACCAAATGTCTCTCAGAGGGGCGTGGGGAGGGGCTCCTTATTTTCATCTAAAGTCACAGACAGAGAATCAGCACTTTGGAAACAGGGCTGAAACAGAGGGGATTATGGGTAATGCTGCAATGATCTGTTTGGTGTTCCAGCCAATCAGAGACAGGCTATATATCTGAGCATGGGCGTAGGAAGAATCCTCAATGTGGGTGGGACAAATTGACAGGGGGGGTGGACCTAACCTAGGGGGGTCCGGGGGCCGGGAAGATTTGTTTTTAAATGTTGAAGTTAAAAGCATGAATCTGCTGCACTTTGAGAGCAACATTAGGGATCTATGGAAACATCTCTCAACACCCAGATGAAACAGAACTGTAAGCAGGCTTACTTTTTCTTTATGCATATTTTACAAATCTCTCAGTATTTTTGTGTTACTGTCCGATAGTACGAGTTGGAATTATTTCATACCTGTTATTCTCTTGTTTTTTATAACTATAATGATCTTGGAAATACTTATTTACATAAATGATTACCAAACCGTTTGAGACCCACTACTTAGACTAAAGTGAACTATCTAGACCCTCAGAGAGTCCTTTACCTCACTGAGCTGACGTTATCAGCCTCTCAGTCTGACTCTCCCTCCACCTCTCTAATAACAGAGCCTTATATCCGGGTGCTAGTGGAGCACGCTCGTGAACTGTGAGCGCCGGAGCCTCACAGCGGGGAAACTGTGGCGCGCATCATTTTACAACTAAAGACACAACTATACAAAAAACGCAGCAAGTGTACGGCTCAAGTGTACGGCTCAAGTGTACGGCTCAAGTGTACGGCTCTGAGAATCTGCCTTGGTACAAAGTAGCAGTGAAAACATGGTACGGAGTTTCATTGATTTGGCCTTTCTCTCAATAAGCAAGTGGAATGGATTTGATAGTGAAGCACTGACACAGCGCGGCGAGTGGATAGACCGATTCACGGACTTTCCACATGGTAAAAGTGGTGGGGGCTAAACTAATCATTTGAAAAAGTGGGGGGGACTTGTTCCACCCTCATATAATGGCTGCAACGCCCATGTGTCTGAGACATATAATATATTGATGAAAAACAGTTTAATAGGGGACCTCTAAGGTGTGTGTGTGTGTGTGTGTGTGTGTGTGTGTGTGTGTGTGTGTGTGTGTGTGTGTGTGTGTGTGTGTGTGTGTGTGTGTGTGTGTGTGTGTGTGTGTGTGTGTGTGTGTGTGTGTGTGTGTGTGTGTGTGTGTGTGTGTGTGTGTGTGTGTGTGTGTGTGTGTGTGTGTGTGTGTGTGTGTGTGTGTGTGTGTGTGTGTGTGTGTGTGTGTGTGTGTGTGTGTGTGTGTGTGTGTGTGTGTGTGTGTGTGTGTGTGTGTGTGTGTGTGTGTGTGTGTGTGTGTGTGTGTGTGAGAGAAAGCCAGACTCAATGTTTGTGTCTCATGCATACAATCCTGATGATCTTTCTTCGTCAGCACGGTGCAGATGAAATGTCTCCGTCTGATGAAAGCCCATCAACGCCACGCTGAAAATGAATTATCAGTGAATAGCTATTCGTTTGAAACCTCAGCCTAATGCGACCATCATATTTGATCCACCATTAACCACACAAGGACTTTTGTTCAACAAAAGAACAGAGGATGGCAAAGCACCAATGAATTGATTTCTCACTCTCAGGAGCAGAGAGCACTTCCTCAAAGCTTTTTTGAATAACATTAAACTAAATATATTGGATTCAGTTAAAGAATATCAATTATTTTCTGCCTTCTTTTACCTTGGTTTCAAACCATTTATCTTCGTTTCAGACAGATGAAACTATTGGTAGGGTCTTAGTTTCTAGTATTGGTTTTGAGATGTCTAAGGACATGTTCCAGGTCGAAGCAATGCCGCTAAATGTTTTAGCAACATGCTCTTATATCGGAATTGATGGATAGCAAAACAGAAACAAATAAAACGTTTTGGACTTAGTGTCGTCATATCAACTTATAAAGTGAGTGGGGGGTTATTGTTGTCTTTAAAACTTGTTTCCTCTCCCTTTAAAAAGCCAGATGTTGCAGGTTAAATTATCTCGATCAACTTTACTGTTTTAATGTTCTGCAGAAATAACTAGACTTCCTACTTCTTGAATGGAGGTGCCCTATTAAACTGTTTTTCATCAATATATCACAGGTCTCAGATATATCCAGAACATGTCTCTGATTGGCTGAAACACCAAACAGATCATTGCAGTATTACCCATAATCCCCTCTGTTTCAGCCCTGTTTCCAAAGTGCTGATTCTCTGTCTGTTACTTTAGATGAAAATAAGGAGCCCCTCCCCACGCCCCTCTGAGAGACATTTGGTTAAGAAGAACTCAATGGTGCTCTAGGAGGAGATTCAGAGGGGACACATGTTGATGTAGAAGAGACATGAAGAAGAGGGGACACATGTTGATGTAGAAGAGACATGAAGAAGAGGGGACACATGTTGATGTAGAAGAGACATGAAGAAGAGGGGACACATGTTGATGTAGAAGAGACATGAAGAAGAGGGGACACATGTTGATGTGGAAGAGACATGAAGAAGAGGGGACACATGTTGATGTAGAAGAGACATGAAGAAGAGGGGACACATGTTGATGTAGAAGAGACATGAAGAAGAGGGGACACATGTTGATGTAGAAGAGACATGAAGAAGAGGGGACACATGTTGATGTAGAGGAGACATGAAGAAGAGGGGACACATGTTGATGTAGAAGAGACATGAAGAAGTGGATTTTGCATAATAGGTGACCTTTAAGTGTTATCGCTCTTTTATGCGATAGATTAGACGGCAAATTATCCTTAACTGCAACAGAATTCAATATAACCACAGCTTGTGTGTGTGTGTCTGTGTGTGTGTGTGTCTTTGTGTGTGTTTGTGTGTGTGTTTGTGTGTGTGCAGGACGGCATGCAGAACCAGGTGAACGTGGAAGGGCCTCACTACATCATCCGATCCGGTGGGATGGTGAACCTCTCGGAGCTCGTCTCAAAGACCTCCGCAGGTAGGCAGCACACACTCATCCATCTGCTGTGTGTACGAGCAGTGATGAAGTACTGGCCTGATGTGACAGAAGTGATGAATAAACAGCAGGTGGGAGGGATGTGGGATTCAAATGTGTTCAGGTGGGGAATAAGAAAAAGCCTCGGGAGAGTCAGTGCGTTATCTCAGGAGACTATCATATCTGACAAGAAACATCTGGACTGCAGCATCGACAGGAGGAAGGGATGGGAGTTAGAGCAAGATGTGCCAACATGTTATTTTAAGAATAATCCTAAAGACCGAGACAGACACTGGAGTGATGTGTTACAAAGGAATGGAACTGCAGATGCTAAAAAAGAAAGATGGAGGAACGTCCAACAAACCAAGTTATTTATCCATCCATGTTTCTCTATTAGCTTCTCTGTAGCAGCAGTGTTCATAGAGAGGCGAAGTCCCGCCCTTCTACTTCAGACCCATGGGACCTTATTTCGGAAAAATGATGTATTGAAGTCAATGGAGAGAAAAAGATTATCTTTCCATCCCGTTTGAATTGTGCCACGAATTACACACATGATGTTTGTCAATCTTAAATAATCATTTCCATGTCAAAAAAGTCACAGTTTGTCGTAAAACTGTGGAAATATAAGACTATGAAAAATACGCAACTAGAAAGACTACAAATCCCAGAGTCCCGGTCCCGCATGCTGGCTCTTAGGAACCGACTCACTCCCCTTGTGTGTATGCACAGCTCTCAACACGCCCAGACTTGGAGTGATTTTCACCTCTTTTAATACTTTCCGCCTCATTCTGAAAGAAAGAAGTGAAATGTTTCAACGTGACGGCCGTCTTGGTGTGTGGTGCGAGACGGGAGATGTAGTTCATTGAGCGGTTTCACACAAAAGTGTTACTTCACAGTTTTACAACACATTTACATTTTTTTGACTTGCAAAATTATCTTTTAAATGAACAAACATCATCTGTGTAATTCGTGGCACAATTCAAACGGGATCGAGAGATAATCTTTCTCTCTCCATTGACTTCAATACATACTTTTTCCTAAATAAGGTCCCATGGAGCTCCCCCGGAAGGGGAGGGGCTTCACCTCTCTATGCAGACATTTCTTTAACCATCATTTTAGTTTTTGTGACAGTTGCTCCATTTTAGAATAAAATAATGTATGTTGACATAAGGATTTAAAGTTTGCAATAAAATGGTCGAATAAAACAGAATTAATTAAATATAAATAAGAAGTTAAAGTAAAATGTTCAAAAAGGATAAATTAAATAAAACACTTAATATTAAAATTTAAAAAAAACAAAAGAAGGTAAAGTACATAACTCGGAATAATAATATATTTATAAACAAAATCATTTAAAGCAGAAATGCAAGTTGTACTACAATATATAAAAACAATAACTAAGTAAGAGCATGTACATTTAGGGCTGTCCCGAATAAAAAATGTCGGGCTCGGGGGGGGGGGGGGGCAGTAGTAATCAGCAGCGAACCGCTTCAACACGTGTATATCGGTGTATTCACGGCATTCATTTTGTTATTGCACAGTATTGTTGTTTTATAGTTATTTGTTAATGTAGCCCAATGTGTGTTCTTTGAAATAGAAAAGGATATCACATTGTATTTGTTACTTTCGTTGCAGTTGTATATGTCTTAAGTGTAATTTGGCTTGGCTTCCTATTTATGGACATGCTTTTATTTTGAAGGAGAGGTAGCGCTTTTGACAGGAAGTTGTTGTTGCTATGGAAACAACATGACGGAGATTAACGGAGAAAATTAATATCTACATATAAAGACGGAGAAAGTAAACGATAACGTTTATGGTTAAGTGTTAGCACCCCCGAAGAGGCACAAGCTCTTACGTTGATATTGGAGATTTCAATAAATTCAATTTGAAAGAAAACGGGAAAAAAACGAAAAAACAAACAAAACGAATAACGAAATTGAAACCCAAATAGTACTCCAACGAACGAATATTCGGATATTCGGGTACAGCCCTAATGTACATATTTACATATTTTATGCATATTGTTGTTGTTGTTGTTGTTGTTGTACAACATGTTGTCCTTGGTTCTGTTCTGCTCTTTGAGATGCCAGAGTAGTTCTAGGCATGTTTATTATCTAACACTACAAACCAACTCTTTCTCTTCAGTCAAGTCTGAGGACGTCATGGCGGCCGAGTCGGTGGAAACCCTTCAGCATGTGGTGGGCGACGGGAGTCAGAGGGTCATCACCATAGTAACAGACCAACACGGCAACATGCAGCCGGCGTCCCTGGGCCAGCAGTTCATCTTCACACTGCAGGGCCAGCAGAGTGAGACACACACACACACACACACTCTGCAGCACACACGCTCTGTTGCACACACACACACACTGCTGGATATAGGCATGCACTGTGGTGGATAATACAGAAGGTTTCTAAAAAAAGCAGTAATGTAGCGACAACAAAGAAAGAGTCTTTGAAAAGTCTTTCAAATGCTCAGACATTGGAAGTAGGGGTTTTTCTGGCCTTTTTGAAAATCTGTTTTTCAAAAGTAATTTAGCATTGCATCTCGCTTACAATTCATCCATAGTTAGAACATTGCCTGTAAAATTGGTCATACCTTTTCCTTCGGATAATTGATAAATTAGTCTTAAATCTTGCCTTTAGCTGGGGGAACTAATGCTGCACACGCTGTGGGAAATACAAGCAAAACAAAGGCACGAAAAACTATTTTGAAAAAGTCTCACATCTGGAATAGTCCTGAAAACCTGAGACAACATTGCCGTTTGCAGTCTTGTATTCAAACATGATCCATGTAAAACCATAGAACAAATCCTAAATCTACTAACTGTGAGTGGCACCAAGCTGCTATTCAATCTGAAAAAACACAACAGAAAAACCTACTGAGATTTGATATATTGCATTTTTAATAGAGGAATTCAGTAAAAATGTCTCTATTTTACTAATGTCATACAAACAAGCAGGACACAACGAAGCAACTTAGAACCAGTTATATATGTTAAGAGGGTGTTGCCAAATCAAAGGCAAAAGCAAAAAACTGGACCCTGAAACTAATGTTGCATACATAGAGAGAATAGGTCTTGCAGAAACACACACACACACACACACACACACACACACACACACACACACACACACACACACCACACACCACACACACACACACACACACCAACACACACAAGCAAACAAAAACAGATATATTTTTTAAAGATATGCTCATTAAAGGTCACCTATTATGCAAAATCCTCTTCTTCATGTCTCTTCTACATCAACATGTGTCCCCTCTTCTTCATGTCTCTTCTACATCAACATGTGTCCCCTCTTCTTCATGTCTCTTCTACATCAACATGTGTCCCCTCTTCTTCATGTCTCTTCTACATCAAACATGTGGTCCCCTCTTCTTCATGTCTCTTCTACATCAACATGTGTCCCCTCTTCTCCATGTCTCTTCTACATCAACATGTGTCCCCTCTTCTTCATGTCTCTTCTACACTCAACATGTGTCCCCTCTTCTTCATGTCTCTTCTACATCAACATGTGTCCCTCTTCTTCATGTCTCTTCTACATCAACATGTGTCCCCTCTTCTTCATGTCTCCTTCTACATCAACATGTGTCCCCTCTTCTTCATGTCTCCTCTACATCAAACATGTGTCCCCTCTTCTTCATGTCTCTTCTACATCAACATGTGTCCCCTCTTCTTCATGTCTCTTCTACATCAACATGGTGTCCCCTCTTCTTCATGTCTCTTCTACATCAACATGTGTCCCCTCTTCTTCATGTCTCTTCTACATTAACATGTGTCCCCTCTTCTCCATGTCTCTTCTACATCAACATGTGTCCCCTCTTCTTCATGTCTCTTCTACATCAACATGTGTCCCCTCTTCTTCATGTCTCTTCTTCATCAACATGTGTCCCCTCTTCTTCATGTCTCTTCTACATCACCATGTGTCCCCTCTTCTTCATGTCTCTTCTACATCAACATGTGTCCCCTCTTCTTCATGTCTCTTCTACATCACCATGTGTCCCCTCTTCTTCATGTCTCTTCTTCATCAACATGTGTCCCCTCTTCTTCATGTCTCTTCTCATCAACATGTGTCCCCTCTTCTTCATGTCTCTTCTACATCAACATGTTGTCCCCTCTTCTTCATGTCTCTTCTACATCAACATGTGTCCCCTCTTCTTCATGTCTCTTCTACATCAACATGTGTCCCCTCTTCTTCATGTCTCTTCTACATCAACATGTGTCCCCTCTTCTTCATGTCTCTTCTACATCAACATGTGTCCCCTCTTCTTCATGTCTCTTCTACATCAACATGTGTCCCCTCTTCTTCATGTCTCTTCTACATCAACATGTGTCCCCTCTTCTTCATGTCTCTTCTTCATCAACATGTGTCCCCTCTTCTTCATGTCTCTTCTACATCAACATGTGTCCCCTCTTCTTCATGTCTCTTCTACATCAACATGTGTCCCCTCTTCTTCATGTCTCTTCTACATCAACATGTGTCCCCTCTTCTTCATGTCTCTTCTACATCAACATGTGTCCCCTCTTCTTCATGTCTCTTCTACATCAACATGTGTCCCCTCTTCTTCATGTCTCTTCTACATCAACATGTGTCCCCTCTTCTTCATGTCTCTTCTACATCAACATGTGTCCCCTCTTCTTCATGTCTCTTCTACATCAACATGTGTCCCCTCTTCTTCATGTCTCTTCTACATCAACATGTGTCCCCTCTTCTTCATGTCTCTTCTACATCAACATGTGTCCCCTCTTCTTCATGTCTCCTTCTACATCAACATGTGTCCCCTCTTCTTCATGTCTCCTTCTACATCAACATGTGTCCCCTCTTCTTCATGTCTCTTCTACATCAACATGTGTCCCCCTCTTCTTCATGTCTCTTCTACATCAACATGTGTCCCTCTTCTTCATGTCTCTCTACATCACATGTGTCCCCTCTCTTCTTCCATGTCTCTTCTACATTAACATGTGTCCCCTCTTCTCCATGTCTCTTCTACATCAACATGTGTCCCCTCTTCTTCATGTCTCTTCTACATCAACATGTGTCCCCTCTTCTTCATGTCTCTTCTTCATCAACATGTGTCCCCCTCTTCTTCATGTCTCTTCTACATCACCATGTGTCCCCTCTTCTTCATGTCTCTTCTACATCAACATGTGTCCCCTCTTCTTCATGTCTCTTCTACATCACCATGTGTCCCCTCTTCTTCATGTCTCTTCTTCATCAACATGTGTCCCCTCTTCTTCATGTCTCTTCTTCATCAACATGTGTCCCCTCTTCTTCATGTCTCTTCTACATCAACATGTGTCCCCTCTTCTTCATGTCTCTTCTACATCAACATGTGTCCCCTCTTCTTCATGTCTCTTCTACATCAACATGTGTCCCCTCTTCTTCATGTCTCTTCTACATCAACATGTGTCCCCTCTTCTTCATGTCTCTTCTTCATCAACATGTGTCCCCTCTTCTTCATGTCTCTTCTACATCAACATGTGTCCCCTCTTCTTCATGTCTCTTCTACATCAACATGTGTCCCCTCTTCTTCATGTCTCTTCTTCATCAACATGTGTCCCCTCTTCTTCATGTCTCTTCTACATCAACATGTGTCCCCTCTTCTTCATGTCTCTTCTACATCAACATGTGTCCCCTCTTCTTCATGTCTCTTCTACATCAACATGTGTCCCCTCTTCTTCATGTCTCTTCTACATCAACATGTGTCCCCTCTTCTTCATGTATCTTCTACATCAACATGTGTCCCCTCTTCTTCATGTCTCTTCTACATCAACATGTGTCCCCTCTTCTTCATGTCTCTTCTACATCAACATGTGTCCCCTCTTCTTCATGTCTCTTCTACATCAACATGTGTCCCCTCTTCTTCATGTCTCTTCTACATCAACATGTGTCCCCTCTTCTTCATGTCTCTTCTACATCAACATGTGTCCCCTCTTCTTCATGTATCTTCTACATCAACATGTGTCCCCTCTTCTTCATGTCTCTTCTACATCAACATGTGTCCCCTCTTCTTCATGTCTCTTCTACATCAACATGTGTCCCCTCTTCTTCACGTCTCTTCTACATCAACATGTGTCCCCTCTTCTTCATGTCTCTTCTACATCAACATGTGTCCCCTCTTCTTCATGTCTCTTCTACATCAACATGTGTCCCCTCTTCTTCATGTCTCTTCTACATCAACATGTGTCCCCTCTTCTTCATGTCTCTTCTACATCAACATGTGTCCCCTCTTCTTCATGTCTCTTCTTTATCAACATGTGTCCCCTCTGTGGAAAGAGACTCTGAAAGTTTCAGGAACAAAGATTCTCTCTCTTTTTGATCCATTTCTATAAAAACCTGTCTGAAAATGAGCTGATCAGATTTTGGCCACTTTGTGATGTCATAACGATGTTTTGTCTTGAGTAACCATTAGCCAATCAGCAACCAAGGTAACCCCCCCCCCCCCCCTTATCACCTGAATCTCCTCTAGAGCTCCATTGAGTTCTTTGTAACCAAATGTCTCTCAGAGGGGCGTGGGGAGGGGCTCCTTATTTTCATCTAAAGTAACAGACAGAGAATCAGCTCTTTGGAAACAGGGCTGAAACAGAGGGGATTATGGGTAATGCTGCAATGATCTGTTTGGTGTTTCAGCCAATCAGAGACAGGTTCTGGATATATCTGAGACCTGTGATATATTGATGAAAAACAGTATAATAGGGGACCTTTAAGACTTCACTCTGACACTTTTTCTGTTGTGCCGTTGCAGTGGTGGCTGTGCCCACCGGCTCGATGGCAGAGGAGGTCGTGGGGGAGGAGCCTATCTCGGCCACGCCCACACACAAGAGGAAGACAGACCCTACAGCCAATCACAGCATCTTAAAATCCAAGGTAAGCAGGCAGTACTTTGTTAAATATGAACTGTTATTACTGTCAAACTTTTTGCATTTGCTGAAGGTTTCAATATATCCGACTTGGTTCTTTATAACACAGAAGTCCCCCAAAAAGAACCTCAGCCAAAGCTATGAAAAGCAAAAGGGATCAAAGCCAGATATAATGGATTTTAGTTCATGGTAAACAATTATCATTCCCACACAGCATCTTGAGCAGGCAGATGGTGTTTGTAAGTCATTTAACTTTACTACATATCAACATGGCTTATTGGTCAGCAGCTTGCACTTTTACCCTTGTTCATTTCCACTCTGCTCAAAGCTCATTGTAATGAACATACACAAACGTTTTAAGGATCTTTCTCTGGAGATTGGCAACAAAAGCAACATTCCCAGTGTCTCCAGCATTTCACTCCAGCAACGACATTTACAGTAAACAAAGCAAACAGCTATTTCAGCTTTGAATGTTGTGTGATGGAATATGGCCGCTGGAGAGAAACATGAACACATTTCAACCTGTTCATTTCACTTTGAAAATAATTCTGGACAATGACCCCGAGATATCAAATGTAATTATAGTAATAGTTATTTATTTGTATGTATTGTTCAATTAGTATTTGGGCTATTTTTTGCATTCTTTTTATTATTATTTTTTATTACTTTTCTTCTCCTAAAAAAGAAAATTGCGTTTGACCTTAAAGCTCCCATGACCTGGCCATTTCTACTGATCATAATTCCATTGTTGAGGTCTACTAGAATAGATTTATATTGTTCAATGTTCCAAACTCACATTGGTTTCTCACAGCATCTCTGAGTAGTATGTGTATTCACTCTCTGTCCTAAACGGCTTGTTGGAGCTCCTGCCCCCCCCCCCCCTCCCCCTCCCCCCCCCTCCCTGTGAGCCCAGTGGCCGTCTGCGAGACAGCGAAACCCAGCCCGAACCACACACACTCGCAGCCTGGCTGGGAGTTTGTGTGTGTGCCCAGGCTGAGTTCCGCGATGTCTCGCTGTCTCGCCGACCCCACACCAGTGAGCCAGCTCAGTGTCCCGCTCCTCGCAGCAGCGAGCCTCGCAACGTCCCGCCGAGTGTGTGTGTGTGAGGAAGTCCGCGGATTGGTCCAAACGTAACGGCTCCGCAGATTGGTCCGTTACGTCACGTCACTATACCCAAGAAGCAAAAAATGGAAAAAGATAAATGTCCAACGAGGCGTTCTGGGGCAGCATAGACAGGTCTTCTCTGTGTTAGAGCTTTACTCGCTACAGGGTGTACTTTGAGGGTTTGTGACTGCAGAGCGTTCACATGCAGAACAAGCTACATAACACAAGGGGACGGGTAATAACTGGAAACGCATGACCTGGGACCTTTAAGGCATAGGTTGTGGCATGTTGCTTTGTTTTGTTTCATGTATACTGTGTGTAAAAAACATAGTTTGTATTTTATTTATTTGGAGCAAAGTACATGTTTGGACAGTCAATAAAAAAAAGAGTTGAAACAAAATAATAGATTATAAAAAAGCATGACGTTTGAGGACTTCTGCATTTTGCCCGTTGCTCACTTGCTTTTTCTCACAGACTTCGATACGATCTGACTGCTTTCTGTATAAGAGCTCCTCCCTGTTGGCTTTTAGAAAGACTTCAGGTTTAAGCATCGGCTTCCCTCCTCAGACACGGAGGCCGCGCCTCGCTTTAACCGCTAATCTGTCTGTGTTTCCCCAGAAGGTGAAGGAGAGTCGGGAGCAGCTGGAGCGGCAGCTGCAGGAAGCCAATCTGAAGGCTCAGGGGTAATGTTGGGAAAATAGTGAATGTCCTCTTTCAGTATGAGAGTAACATGATAACAAAGGTTTCCCAACTGTAGCTGTGAACATGACAGGATGTGTGATTACCTAGAAGAGCATCAGGACTGTTTGAGGCATATGATAGCTATGTGATTAACATGATGATTCAGCCTCTATGGAGAGAGACATCAAGCATGCTCATTTCTGACGTGGAGCTAATCTGAAGTAAACATTGAAGACTTTAGAATTTTGAGAAAAAGTCCGATTTAGAGAAAAAGTAAACATTTTGAGAGAAAGTCAGAATTTTTAGAAAAAAATCAGAATTTTTAGATTTTGAGAGAAAAAATTCAGGATTTTGAGAAAAAGTCTGAATTTTTAGATTTTCAGAATAAAGCCAACATTTTGAGAAACAACTCAGTATTGTGTAAATGACAGGATGTATGATTACCTACAAGACCCGGTATTCCTCCATCTTGTGACGGTGTGACTCCCTCTCTTGGATATCAGGACACTGTTCAGGAACTAGTGGATGCTCTGTATGTGATGACTCCTTCCATTCTGGAGAGGATCACAGACACATGGATCCTGAGGTTGAAGCTCAAGCCGGTGACCAGTGATATTTTTCTAACAGGTACCAGCAGCAGCTCCTGGAGAAAGAGCAGGAGGCGGAGCAGTACCGCCTCAGACTGGAGCAGGCCATCGCCACCAGCAACAACAACATCACCACGACAACTGTTACCGTAAACTCTACAGTGAAGGAGGAGGAAGAGGAAGAGGAGGAGGAGGAGGAGGTGGTGATGCTGCTGGAGGAGCAGCTGGAGACCACAGTGGAAGATAAAGAGGTGGAAGACGAGGAGACGAAGCAGGAGGATGAAGAGGAGGTCGTCTGTGAACTTCCAGGAGAGACACTTCCTGTGACTGAGTCTGAGATGGAGGTGGAGACCGAGGGTTCAGAGGAGACGCACACATCCTCCCCCGGTCAGCGAGGAAGAGGGAGAGGAAGAGGAGGACGCAGACACTAGCACCATGATTTGTGATGATCTATTTCAACGATCTTCATAACCTTTTGTAAAGATTAGGAAGACTTTTGTAAATATGTTAATGCATCCATCACTGAGAGGAAGCAGTTAGCATCACAGACTTTTAAACGATCAGCTGTAACAACATGACCAGACTGATTACTGAAATGTTGAGAGGGATCGAACGACAGGGGTCTCTCAGTGACTAAGGTCAATATTAAAAATGATGAAGTATGTTATATAGATTGTGTTTAGAGTTTCTCTCCCCTGCCAGAAAAGCCTACATTAGACTCATGAACTTATGCAACATAATGACATCCCTATGTAACACTGCGCTTCTATTGGCTAACACATTGTACCTGATAGGCTAAGGGGCGGGACATCTCTAAGCGGTCGACCAATCACAACAGAGCCGGCCAGCTAACCAATCAGAGCAGACTGGGCTGTGGTTTCAGACAGAGGGTGAACAGAGGTGCTGCAGCACAGGCAGTATGAGAACAATAAAGAGCTTTTTGAACATTAAACCATGCAGACATGGAGAGACACTACATACTGATATATGAAAATGAGTATAAAAGGGCGTCTTGAAGATAGCAGTGCGGCAGTTGGCTGATAAACAATGCAGAAATATTGTTTTTTTTGGTTCTGATAAAAAACAATTTCATTATATATTATAATAACTATATTGGCAGGTGTTCATATCCTTCCCTGGTACTAGATAACAAACCTTTAAAAGTGTGTAATATGTATTATTCTTTGTATATTTAGTTATCTTTTGGGTCAAATTATTTCTTGCGTTTATTTTCCATGACGTGTGAAAGGGCCTCCTGCGGTGATGTCAGAGGAGGAGGTGCACAGTCGGGTCAGAGATGAAGCAATTACAGTAAGAGCTCTCCATGTTTCTTATCATGGAGCAGATAGGAGCCTCTGCTGGGATCAAGGACTCTTACACCGTATCTTTTCTGGGAATCAAACTTGTGACCTTTTTGTTTTTTAAGCAGCTTTTTCACCACTCAACCCCCTCGAGTCCTCCTGCGGTGTGATGTGGATTTAAATGAGTCACAACAAGACGAATCTGACTGTTTTTAAACGTGAAAACCCACAACTCAAAATGATGTTTTACTGTTAATTCTTTGTCTTTTGGCAGATCTCACAAAGGGGGTTATTTAAATGTGACAGCACCTGTCATAAGTCTTGACAGATTTAAAGGCTTTTGTGGTTGTTTTTTAAACTATAAAACATTTGGTTAAAGGTGGGGTAGGTAAGTTTGAGAAACCGGCTCGAGATACACTTTTTGTTATATTCCATGGAATGCTCTTAACATCCCGATAGCAATGAATATCTGAAGTGCTTTGACTAAAAATCCATAAAAACACATCATCTGTGGAAGAAGCCGTAGCGCTGTAAAAAGCACGACCAATCTTCTGAGCCGGCCCGGCTAAAGTAACTGGATGGCCTACCTGCCTGTCAGCCTTCCGCACAAACTTATCTCGTGCCCTCATTGGTCATGTGCGCGTTCGTGTGCGTTGGAGGAGGGGCTCTGTAAGGAAGTGGCAGATTTGTTCCGGCTGTGTATTTTCAAATTCCAGCGCCCTCGAGCTGGTTTCTCCAAACTTACCTACCCCACCTTTAAGTGCACGAAGTGAGCAGATATCAATAACATGAATTGAATAGCTTGTTTACCCCATTCATTATAAAGCCCACTTTCTCATTACTGAAACTGTCAAGGGTAATGTTCAAGGTCTTTATTCAACACAATAGCTTATTTCTTTGACACAAGTTTTTAAAATGTAATTATGTGAGGCAATAAAAGGAATAGAGAAAATGGGAAAACGTGTTGCTTCTGAAATTACAGTGCAAAAAGTATAAAAATGTAACACAGTGTTTATGAGTTTGCTCATGTGCTAATTATGTTTTAATAACTTGTTTTGTGGTTGTTCTTCACTGGCTTCCGGTAACTGCTAGAATCCACTTCAAGACAATGGTACTTGCTTACCATGCTGCGAATGGATCTGGCCCTTCCTACATCCAGGACATGGTTAAACCGTACACCCCAGCGCGTGCACTACGCTCTGCATCAGCCAAACAGCTCGCTGCACCCTCGCTGCGAGGGGGACCCAAGTTCCCATCAGCAAAAACACGTGGGTTTGCTATCCTGGCTCCAGGATGGTGGAATGAGCTCCCCATTGACATCAGGACGGCAGATAGCTTGCACATCTTCCGGCGCAAACTGAAAACTCATCTCTTTCGACTCCACTTCGAGCGATAGAACTATTAACGAAGCACTTTTATACTAATAAAGGACTGGCTTACCTAAAGCCAGTTGAGTAGCACTTGAAATGTTTGGCTCTATGAAACCTGATGTACTTATATGATTCTGTTTTCTTCAAGGTTGTGTCTTCCTGGTCGAATGTAAGTCGCTTTGGATAAAAGCGTCAGCTAAATGCAATGTAATGTAATGTTCTGGTTTAATGACTGAGGTGACACAACATTTGTTTTATTCAATAATGCTGAATAGTTTTACATTTTAAAATGTCTTAAAAATACTCTTTTATTCCCATTTTGCCTTTTATCTGTATGTAATCATACTAACACACTGGTTATTATGTGCATGTGTAAATATAATTTGGGAGAAATATAATTTTCCTCTGCTGCAGCCCGAAGCATTAACCTCCAGCTGCTCTCTCCTTAATGGTCACCAGTAATGGCTCTACTCATTATACTGGCTCTCCGTGACCAACAGTCTGACGCTGTGGTGAGAAATAGTGTTGCACACAGCTCTTTGGGTATAACACGTTAATTGGGCACTGAAGAGCTCATTGGGAGTGTGTATTGGTGAGTTGTTGAACAGCTGTCCACTGATATACTTTAGATCAGGGGTGTCCAAACTTTTTTCACTGAGGGCCACATACAGAAAAAGATACGAAGGGCTGTGTCGCTCACTAGAGGTTTATTTCCTCATAAGTTCTGCTATAAGTTGGAAAAGTCAATCCAATGTAGGTACAATGTTCTTGATACTTGAAAATGCTAAAAGAGCTCTCGGAAAGGTTTAATTTATTGCGTTGGCAGCTCATTCCTTAAAACAGAAGCTTCAGATTTCTTATAGGAGGAAATATGGAGGGTATATTTCAAGGTCGTTATGTAAATGTATTATTGGGCTTTTTTCTAGATTTGTTTGAACATGTTTTCAACTTTAATCGACTGAATGTATTTGAACATTGGCTTATCAACACATGAATACTGTGTCATATTTGATCATACACAGTATACCCATAAGGACCCACCGTGACGGGTGTCACATGAACTTTAAATGTTCTGGAAAGTTCCTTATAGCTTTAGCTTTTATTTGATCTCATCAAGTCCCTAAGTGACACACACTGAACAGTCTGGTGGGTCATGGGCCAGGTCATGTGACTTTGTGTTCCCATAACAACATGTCCATGTGCCAGGCTAACACGTGTGACCGAACTAGCTACATTTCAAAAGCTTTTTTGTTTGTTGTTAAAGGTCAAATTCAAGCCATTTAAGAATGAAATGCTTACATAACATGTCCTTTATTACATTTAACCTGTTGTGGAAACATTTCTTGATCAAATTGATATGAAACAAATGAGACAAACATCGCGGTGACACTGATGTCACATCGGGACTTTAACCCTACACTTTCACAGTAAACCCAAAGTGACATACGCACAATTAGAAATATGATTATGATCTGCTCAGTTCATTTAGCTGATTCAATTATATTGAGTTAATATATTCTTATTCTTCAATTCAAAGAATGTTCAAACGAATTTAAACCAAATAATCATCCTCATTAATTAAGTTATAAATAAGAGTTATTTTACCATTAACGGCTAATGTGACACATAATGTCACATTTCAGATATGTGACACTATGGGGGGTTTCTTGTCAGAAATGTGTGTGGTCTATTTAGTCTAAATGACGTCCCCCTTAATTTTCCCAAAAGTAGAAATGTGTCCGGGTTCTTATGGGTTAAGAAGTACAATATAAGACAAACAGAAGTTTATTATACTTAAGTCATTATACTTTTTTTATTTGCTAATTGAGGGTCAATTCAAAATGCCCCCCCGGGCCGTAGTTTGGGCCCCCCTGCTTTAGGGGGTAAAGCAGATTTTGGCCGACATGAATCTGACATAACCAGCTCTATCCTTTTTTCACAAGTTTAAATTTAAGATCTAAGTCAAGGCTTCTTTCTAAACTTTGCCAACATAATGCGTCTGCTACACAGGTGTGGCAATCAAGACGCTGATTAAACAGCAGGATATACTCACAGGCCTTGGGCTTTTCACAATAAAATCCTCATCTTAAATGTGCAGTTTTATCGTGAAAGGGACATTTATCAGGCACATAACTGGGGATACAAATGTGCATTTTTGAGTCACAAATCATCAATAAAGTAACAGTTTTATAATGCCAGATGCTATCAAAGGTGAGCGTTTTTAAGTTGTTTTGAAAGATGCAGTGAGGTCGAGCCCCTCTGAGGATCACGAGACGGTTTCTCGCAGTTTGTGCAGAAATATTTTGGTTGTACAAATTACATTTTCATGAACTGTCCAGATGGCAAGTCTGAAACTATCTTGCAGATGAAGACGCTGGGTGTGGCGGGTCCTAGGTCAGTGGGGATACATGGGTTCAGTAGTTATGCTCACTGTAGGCTACTGCCAAATACACGTCAACGGCATTCAACACCTTCCTGCAGTTCGTATGACAACGGCACGATTGTCGGCGTTCTGGCGATTTACTCAGAAGGCTTCAGTAGAAGCTACTCCATCTCCACCGCTCCGACGTTTTCTTTTGTGTTGCCATAAGTTAGTCTATCTCCGTTTGTGCGCTGGGCTAATGCTAATAATGCTAATGCACAAGCTCCACAAATCATGTGAAACCCAGATTTGGCTCAAAAAAGGGGGAATACACGTTTCGCAATTATGCCACATCAAGGTGGAACGCTCTTCCCACAACTGTAAAGGAAAGTAAAACTATACTTACCTTCAAAACCTCTCTTAAGAGCACCTTCGGGGGAGAGCATTGCAAAACTGGCCCCGGTAATGGTACAAATCTCAACCTGTCGTTCAATGGACAGCTTCCCCCCCCCCATCTATGTATATACTCGCATTTTAGACTCTGTTACTAACTGTATATCTGTAGACTTGGTATGTCTTAAATGTCCGGTTAGGATGTATTAGAACGAAATCTAAAATGAAAATTATAAATAAGCAATCTGTATGTAAAAAACCACCTGTATGTAAATTGTAAATAAGCCATCTGTATGTCAAATATGTCTTATATGTCTTAAATGACATGATGAATTGGAAATGGGGGACCCTGATGTAAACGAGACGAAAGTCTTTCTCTGGTCTGCATCCCCTTAACAATTGTATGTTTTGAGCTGTACTGTACTGTACCCAATATACAAGCTGTTAATACACTTTTCAATCAATCAATCAATCAATCAATGCAAGGATAATAAAATGGCGACTTCACAAAACTTTTTGGGAGTTTTACGGGGCGTGGTTTGCATTTCGCCCAGCCAATCAGACATAGGAACCTTTTTCTCCCACGAAAGTCCCTGCTCTCTAGCAGGGACGGAAAAGGGGGTTAAAAGGTTCTCATGAACTAATTTTAGTTCTGGCTCTTTTTGGTGTGAACGTGACATTTCGGAACTAAAGTGGGAAAAGTACAGCGGTGTGAAAGTGCCTAATGATGCTCTAGGAGGAGATTCAGGTGATAAGGTGTGTGTGTGTGGGGGGGGGGGGGGGGTACCTTGGTTGCTGATTGGCTAATGGTTACACAAGCCAACACATCGTTATGACATCATAAAGTGGCCAAAATCTGATCAGCTCATTTTCAGGTTTTTATATAAATGGATCAGGACAAAAAGAGAGATAATCTTTGTTCCTGAAACTTTCAGAGTCTCTTTCCACAGAGGGGATGGAGAAGAGACATGAAGAAGTGGATTTTGCATAATAGGTGACCTTTAAGTCTAGCATGAGAGGTATTGCCTGGGATCACCCTGCTTCCTCCTCCTCACTCAGGCTGTCTGTTATTTTCAGAACTGTTCTCACATGTCAGCCCTAAAACCCCTTCATGGCTCCTTGCTCTGTTATAGAGGATCTCAGGCTGATTGAGGCCTCACACAGCCTGAGATCACCTGCAGGGGCCCTCAGGCATCTCACAGACAGCACCTCATCTGTCAGGACCCCAGGCTCAGAGCAACCTGCCTGAGGAGCACGGCTACCATCATCCGTCATTTTGAGAATCACCTTTTGTAATGTACCCGATGTATTTTCTTCCTTGTTCCGTTTTTATCAGAGAGCTATATGACATACCTTGTTATAAAGTACACTCCAATATTTTTGAGGGTATAGCTTGTGTTGGTGGGACTTTACATATTTTTTCAGGGATGGCAATTCATTATTTTCGTATTTTTTGAAAAATTGTAATTAGTTTATTAGGGACAGTGCACAAAAAGGCTAATTGTTGTAAATGCCCCAGAGTTAGCCAAAAGGATATTTTTCATAATTAGGCAGATGATTCAATGTCACTTTAAAAGCCAATTATAATATACAGTATATTAAAAAACTAAATACAGGATCAGTTGCCAAGAAATTATGTTCAAAGATGCTGTATTTTGCTTTTGGGGGTTTTCCCTAAGTGACATCAATATGTAATACTCACGCTTCTATTGGCTAGCGCTCCAACACATTGTACGTGATAGACTAAGGGGCGGGACATCACTAAGTGGTTGACCAATGACAACAGAGCCGTTCAGCTAACCAATCAGAGCAGACTGGGCTCTGGTTTCAGACAGAGGGTGAAAAGAGGTGCTGCAGCACAGGCAGTATGAGACAAATAAAGAGCTTTTTGAACATTAAAGCTTGGAGACAGTAGAGGCACACAATATACAAATGAAATCTGAATGTTGCATAATAAGGTCCCTTTAAACATTCATCATCCTTAGAGCACAACACATAGTGTGAACAAAAGTCAGAGGGTTACACAATTCACTAACACATGCTTGACTTGAATGGTTTTGAGTAAAATGCCTCGAAAACAATTGGATTGATCGCTGTGAAATTCATATTCCACTCAGGCTGAATCGCAATCACTTCTCTGATCCTTCATCTTTCTAAAGCATCATCATCATCATCACAGGCCTGTTTTCACAAAAATAGACCTTGACTGTTTTCCAAATCTTTCTCTGGGAGCTGCAGACCTGAGTCCTTTTTAAATAATGCTCAGAATCACGTTTTCTCTGGTGCCATTGGTCCCTGAAGCCTCATGCTGTTCTGTGAAGAGTTGACAGACTGCTGTAAACGCCAGCGGCTCTCAGAGAAATCGCTGCGAAATGAATTTAAGAATATCAGCAGTCTCCTTCTTTATGTCCTTGTGCAGCGTTCTTTCACATTCACAGGGGAACAGTCCTGCTCAGAGACCAGAACATTAACTGGAGGCTGAATAGTGAAATGGGGCATTGGGGAAAGGAAATACATGCACAGCGAGGAATGAAAATAATTCAATTATCAGAGGCTTTCTTTAATATGAGTCATGTTGCATAAGCTTGACAGGGATATTGATCCATAATGGTAACTGCGCTCCAACGAGCTGTTAGGGCGTGTTTGGATTGGAGTATTATCTTGGTTTGGCACCAGCTAATGAGATTTAAGAAAACGAGAATGAAGGCTTTTGTTGCAAAATGATTTCTTTCTATTTTGGGTATTGCACTTAATGATCAGAGTGAAACGTCTTGGGCGACAGTCATTGAAACACAAAGAGTATTTCTGGATAAATGGAGGTTTCTGGGGGATTGTTAACGTTCAAGGTGTTACAATCACTCTTGGATGCAGGTGTAATTGTTTTTAAATGATAAATATCCAGAGCTAATCCTCCCAGCAGCTCGTCTTCACTTTCTGCAGCTGCTTGTGTAACAAACTGCCAGCATGCATTAAGCGAGAGCCGCTTTCTGTACGAGAAACAAGATACACGTTTAGTTCTGCTCTCACACAGCTATAATGAGCCGAGGAGGAATCAACAACTGTTTGGACTTTTTTTTTAAAGAAATCAGCAAACAGTGAAAAGGCTCCAGTCCAAACGTAGGATGTCTCCTACACAGAGTAATCCAAAAAGCAGAGACTGCACATTTCTCCTATGTGGGATCAGCTCGCGTTTAATATTCTGATCCGCTTCAGCTCCCCGGCCCTCCCTAAAAAGAAATACAACGTGGGGGTGTGTGATATCAGCAGAATTGTTAAGTAACACAGAACAGATGCACTTGCAAACACATTTCATAAGTCTATCCATGCACGCTTCAATGTGAGGAAAGGATGCAGGGTTTTCTCAGGGAGGTGTGCAGAGGATGATTGCAAATAACGTATTCAGCGTTTGGTGTCAGAGAGAAGATTGTTATTCTGCATGCTGTCTGGGGGTCTCGGCTCAAAGAGCAGCCTGGGCCCGGAGCCGTGTGTGTGTGTGTGTGTGTGTGTGTGTGTGTGTGTGTGTGTGTGTGTGTGTGTGTGTGTGTGTGTGTGTGTGAAGCGAGAGTGTCTGGGTTCACAGAAAACCCATCCAGACACCTGCCGGCTACCGCTGCCAGTCGCTGATAAAATGGTGAAAGAATGTAAGGAGCCTCAGGCGTCCACGTCCGCCTTCAAAAGGGCCGGGTGGGCTTGGAAGAACCATTGTTTGTTTGTCTTTAACACCTGCCACTTTTAACGCCTTGTGAATGAAGCTCAGGAAATAAAACATATTAAAAAGGCAGTTGTGAACTCTGATCATTTTTATTAGAAAAAAGGAAACGGTGGCTCCGGGCGAAAAACAGATCGAAAGAAAAAGGCTGCAGACGAGAAAAAATAGCTGCTTGAGAAAACTGACCCACAGCTACAACATCAGGATTAAAGCACTTCACCATTTATCATGCACGGAGAGAGCGAGAAACACATGCAGGGGAGGGGGCACATCACCTCAGCGCAATATCCCATCACATCTGCGACAGGTAGGAAAAGGCCACAGCAGATCACAAGAACATCACACGCTGTTGAAAGGGTCAGAGTTCACTTCCTGTCCCGACTGGACAGAGCAGGGCTGGTTTATTTTTCTTATTTTTTAGCGGGTTGTATGACATCTCCGTGAAGTGCAAAGACACAGTCGCATCAGTGATTGGCTGATTCCAGCATCTCCGCCACCTACGATACTGTAAACAATCTACACTATAAGGCGCACAGTTGAAAAATTGCCCAACAAAAGAGCCTCAGCGTTACTTCTTAAAGGGTTTGATGTGAAAATGCATCGTCATCTTCACCATCAAATCTCGGCAGATCTGGCATACCAACTGTCAATATACCTCAGGCAGTGAAATGCTGTTTAGGTTTCTTGAAATGGGCACTAAACCAAAGAAAAGACATTAAGAGACAATAACCCATTTTCATTCTCTTTCAACATCAATCTTGCTTCAAATTAGGCACACGGTACGGCACAGTAAACGTTGTTTTCCTCAATACCTCTTTTGGTTGTTGACATATAAAAGACGGGGACACCGAAGAGTCCCGCACGATTTTAAAGGACAATTTGTTTGTTTTATCGCACACACTGAACAAGTATCTGTCCAAACCTTTGACATTAAAGGGAGAACTTTTCCACAGTTTCCTTCTTTGTGATTATTTCACCTGCTTTAAGACGTTGATACCAACCTTTCCTCGCTGTCAAGAAGGTAACAACCAGCACAGAATATCTTACTAAGACACAAGGCAATAAATTCCTCTTCGCTTGAATAATATCAGTCGTACAAAGTCTTTTGGACCGCCCGTGTCCGTCCACGAAATAAAATACGCTAAAACTAACAGACCTCAGCGATTAGCTTGTTTTTCTCACCAACTATTTTAAACACTGATTGTCTACATTATCAATAAAAATCGAAAGGACGTAAACATGATAAGTAAACACTCTTCAACTGGCTTGGACCTCAAAAGATATTTGACCCTGTGTGAGATGTGCGGAAAGTCTTCCAAGCGCCAACATGGAGGAGGAAGAGATAGTCCACAGGAGAGCTGATGCCAGGGGAAGGAAGTGACCGTAACTCGCTCCGGTGCATCGCCTGGACTGAAGGTTTGATCGATAATTCGTAGCATAATCCTTGGTTGTCTTCTTGTGGTGGAGAATTTTCTGATTTGGCAGGGAGAAGCTGTTTGTTAGCGCTCGTTTTCAACGTCAATCCACCATCTTTTCAGCCAAAGTTTCCGGTGATGGGTTTCGTTTATCCTGGTGAATTAGCAGTCATTTGTTCAGTCTTTTATTTTTCTAATATATATATATACTGCGCACTTGTTAGACGATGCGGTAATCGAACGTGTCCTTCTCGGTGTGGTCAGTCCAGTTGGACGAGGGCATGCTGCGGTACGGGTCCAGCAGGATGCGGAAGCAGCGCACGATGAGCAGCGCCAGGAATATGAAGAGCAGCAGCACGAAGATGAAGGCCGCCTTCTGCTCCAGCGTCAGGTAGGAGGACACGTGATGTCCGCCGCCTGACGAGGACAGCGTGCTGCTGAAGAGGCCTTCAGCCATCCGCGGCACATCCATGCTTGATCGTCTCGGCTCCAGCTCTTTTTCCGGGTGTGTAAAGATTTAGGAATTGAAGATGGGGTTCAGAGGATCAGACCTGCAAGGCAAGGCAAGGTGAGGCAAGTTTATTCATATAGCACTTTTCAACACAAGGCAATTCAAATAGCATAAAACACATTAGAAACATTAAAAGGCAAAGATAATAAAACATGAGTAACACAGTGCAGAGTGAGATGTGAATAGTTCAATTAAAAGTAGCGGCAAAAAGAAAGTCTTCAGCCTGGATTTAACAGTATTCAGAGTTGCAGCGGACCTGCAGGTTTCTGGTAGTTTCATCCAGATATTTGACAACACCCCTAACCAGATTCTCACATTCCTCTACCCCTAGTCTTCCCGTGAAATGACAGTTCCTTTGACAGTTTTCTAACCTGTTTATATTCCTTTCATCCTTTTCTTTCACCCATTTGCTTCCCCAGACAACACATTTAGCTATTTCACTGTTACCGAACCCATCTTTGACCTTTAAACCACTTTTCTTTTCAATTCCCAGAATAAGAATATTTAAAACCTGTTTTAAAACTTCCCTGGTGAATCGTTGGCCTTTAGACCACTTTTTTCTGCGAGACAATCCAAACACACACGGGTTATTCTGGTGTCCTCTGACAGCAAACAGATATATCAACTTAATGTGATTGTTAAAAACTGAAAGCAAAGTCTTGACCTTTTAAAAAAGATGAGGGGGGACAAAACAAACTCAGGCCAGAAGAAAGTGGCTGTCAGATGAGTTTATCTTTCAACCTCCAGGCAAAAAGCCCGCTCTGTAATAAAATGGGAATCCCAGGGGACTCTTTTGGCCTCCTATTCCTGCAGCTCAGGGGCTTTGAATTGGCTCTGGGAGTTTTAGTTATGCAACATTTATTGGAAGCACCACTGGAAGTAGATGTGTAGCTGGCTTCATTAAACCACAGCATGCAGGTCTTACATTTACAATCGGGACTCCAATTAATTATATTGCTGTGAAACCCATTTCCAGTGGCACCATTCAGCTTTAAACAGTCCCATGGATGTGCTTTCAGACAAGGTTACAGGAATGAGGCATGCATACAAACAAAGGCTGGATAACTGAATGCTGCAGGGCTGCAATACTGAAGGTGAGAATCTCAGTGCTAATAGAAGTAAATGTTTAGAAATACATATAATTTAAGTTAAGTATCAATGAATCAAGGATGCTTCGCAGGACATTCTGTAAACAACACCATCTCTCATTTTAAAGTATATTAAATATGTATTGTCAACACTACTGATCATGATCTGATATTGTTATGGACTCCATGCCAGTGGAAGCACAATCCACTATGCACTTGTATAATGAATGCCACTTAGTCACTTTAAGAGGCATGATTGTCCTGTATATGTGGATGTTGTGCTGCGTATGGTACATGCATATGGTGTGGTCTCATATGCAGATGACAAAGAGACATTTCCATTTCATGCAAATTTAACAGACAGTGAAGTAGTCTGAATATAAACTTATGTATTGCTGGTATATGTGTGTGTGTGTGTGTGTGTGTGTGGCCTAGCATTACTATACTTGTGGGGACCTAAATCTGTTTACACAGTCATGTGTGGGGACTCGCCTCCCTTATGGGGACAAAATGGAGGTACCCATGAGGGGAATCATTAACTTTAGGGTGAAGACTTGGTTAGGGTTAGGGTTAGGATAAGTCTCCAGGAAATGCAAGTAAGTCAATGTAATGTCCCCTGAAGTGATGTATACATGGTTGTGTGTGTGTGTGTGTGTGTGTGTGTGTGTGTGTGTGTGTGTGTGTGTGTGTGTGTGTGGTGTGTGTGTGTGTGTGTGTGTGTGTGTGTGTGTGGTGTGTGTGTGTGTGTGTGTGTGTGTGTGTGTGTGTGTGTGTGTGTGTGTGTGTGTGTGTGTGTGTGTGTGTGTGTGTGTGTGTGTGTGTGTGTGTGTGTGTGTGTGTGTGTGTGTGTGTGTGTGTGTGTGTGTGTGTGTGTGTCCGTGGACAGATTTGTGTACGGGTAAAGGCAGCCTCAACGTGCAAAATGCAAGTGTTGTGTCTCCCTGCCTGATTAGGAGTCACAAAGCTTTGCATGTGTGTAGATGAGATATGAAAGAAGTTTAAAGATGTGTGTGATAACAAAGGGGGTCTCAAGCAGCCATTGGATACCCCACTTTGTGCTGCTGGCAGGAAAATGGACGGTCTTACAGCAAGAGAAAGTCATCACAACATTAACTCAGTCAAAAGACTAACGAGTGGTGCAGGAATGAGTCCTAAAACCCTGAAATGACTCAGCATTTAATCACTTCTGGTTTCCTCGTCTCAAAGTTTTAAAAAAAGTGTTTTTAGTCAGAAACCTGAAATAAGGTTCTATGGTTAACACAAGCTGAAAAGATTTTCACATTTTGTTCTATGACATAATATACGTCCACTGTTGAATGTCCGAAGCTTCTATGTTTCATAAAAACAACGGTTGCTAACAAGTGACTAAATAATGACCCCTCCCCAATCTGATCAATGATGACATGTATAGCCGCATGTCATCATTTCAGCGCTGGTTGTCTTGGTGGTGCCCAGCAAACAATGTGGGCTTCGTAAATAATTGGACAGCCTTCTGGGGAAAACCTGGTCTGATTAAGAGAGACGGCATTCATCCTACTTTGGAAGGTGCAGATCTAATTTCGGCAAACATTTCAGGGCTTTGTGGACGTAATCCATGACAAAGTGGAGTTGAGACCAGGAGGCGGAGTCGCAGTCTTACACGCTTCTCTGCGCTCTCTCCTAGGCAGTCATCCATAGGAATCCCGAACCCAATAAAATACCCAATATTAGCGGTGTGTGTGTCTGCCCAAGGACCAGTTAAGGTAAAACCTAATAGAGGTGTCATACATAATAACCTAATAAAAGTAAATGTAACAACTACTACAGTGCAACAAAACAGGAAGATTAAATGTGGTCTCTTAAACATAAGATCTCTAGCATCTAAAGCAATATTGGTAAATGATTTAATATCAGATTATAATATTGATATATGCTGTCTCACTGAAACTTGGTTGAGACATGAAGAATATGTCAGCATAAATGAGGGCCACTCCACCCAGCCATATCAATACTCATATTGCCCGAGGCACGGGCCGAGGAGGTGGAGTTGCAGCAATCTTTGACTCAAGTTTACTTATCAATACTAAACCAAAATTAAATTATACCTCCTTTGAAAGTCTCGTTTTTAGTCTTACGCATCCGACCTGGAAAACTTTGGAGCCAATCTTATTTGTTACAGTGTACCGTGCACCAGGTCCTTATTCAGAATTCCTATCTGAATTCTCTGAGTTTTTATCAACTTTGGTTCTTAAAACAGATAAAGTAATTATCGTAGGTGACTTTAATATTCATGTTGACGACGATAAAAATAGCCTTACTGTTGCATTTAACTCTATATTAGATTCTGTTGGTTTATGTCAGAGTGTAAATAAACCAACCCACTGCTATAATCACACTCTCGACCTTGTTCTGACTTATGGTATTGAAATTGAGCAACTATTAGTCGAACCGCATAATCCTGCTTTATCCGACATTTCTTAGTAACTTTTGAAGTACTGTTACGAGACTACAAAGCATTAGTCAAAAGCTCCTGCAGCAGAAACCTATCTGTTAGTGCTATAGCCAAATTTAAGGAAGAGATTCCACCAATACTTAACTTGATAGCATGTCTGCATGTAAGGGAGGAAACTTATACAAAATGTACACCACCCCAAATTGATCATGTTGTTGATAGTGCTACAGATGCGCTGCGAATAAAATGATACTCTGTTGCTCCTTTGAAAAATAAGAAAATAAAACAACATAGATTAGCTCCATGGCATAATGCTGAAACCCGCAAAATAAAGCAAAAGTCGAGACAACTTGAAAGGATATGGCGTTCCACTAAACTTGAAGAATCTCGTTTAATTTGGCATATTACTCTCAATGAATATAAGAAAGCACTGCGTAAAGCGAGAGCAGCCTACTACTCTTCATTAATAGATGAGAATAAGAATAATGCAAGATTTCTTTTCAGCACTGTAGCCAGGCTGACAGAGAGCCACAGCTCGATTGAGCCTTCTATTCCCATAGCACTCAGTAGTAATGATTTTATGTGCTTTTTTAACGATACAATTGTTACTCTTAGAAACAAAATTAATGACCTCTTGCCTTTGACCAGTATAGTGTTATCAACAGCTCCCGGAAACGTAAGTTATAATATTACACTAGATAGTAAACTAGAATGCTTTTCAGCCATAAACCTTGAACAATTAAATGCAATGATTCTCTCTTCTAAACCATCAACGTGTATGTTAGACCCAATTCCAACTAAGCTGTTGAAGGAAGTTTTTCCATTAATTAGCACTTCTTTATTAAATATTATGAATATGTCTTTATTATCAGGCTATGTTCCACAATCATTCAAAGTAGCAGTGATAAAACCTCTTCTTAAAAAGCACAACCTCGATCCAGAGGTTTTAGCCAATTATAGACCTATTTCCAATCTTCCGTTCCTCTCAAAAATTATTGAGAAAGCGGTCGCAAAACAGTTGTGTGATTACTTAAAAAACAATGATTTATTTGAAGATTTTCAGTCTGGCTTTAGAACACATCATAGCACAGACACAGCTCTGGTTAAAGTCACAAATGACATTCTAATAGCCTCTGACAAGGGACGTGTCTCTATTCTTGTTTTGCTCGATCTCAGTGCTGCATTTGATACTATCGACCATGATATCTTATTGCAAAGACTAGAGCACTTAGTTGGCATACAGGGAACTGCTTTAGACTGGTTTAGGTCCTATCTATCTGAACGCTCTCAGTTTGTACGTGTCAACGATGAATCTTCCACGCAAACCAAAGTTAGCCATGGAGTGCCACAGGGCTCAGTGCTCGGACCTATTTTGTTCACATTATATATGCTTCCGTTAGGCAATATTATAAGGAATCATTCTGTACATTTTCATTGTTATGCGGATGATACTCAACTATATTTATCAATCAAGCCTGATGAAATTAATCATCTAAATAAAATTCAAGACTGCCTTAAGGACTTAAAAACGTGGATGACCTTAAACTTTTTGATGTTAAACACGACCAAAACTGAAGTTATTGTACTTGGCCCGAAGAATCTACGAAACAAATTATCTAAATATATACTAACTATGGATGGCATTAATTTGGCCTCCAGTGAGACTGTAAGGAAACTTGGTGTTATATTTGATCAGGATTTATCCTTTAACGCCCACATAAAATCAATTTCAAGGACCGCCTACTTCCGTCTACGTAACATTGCAAAAATCAAGCATATCTTGCCTCAAACCGATGCAGAGAAACTAGTCCATGCATTTGTTACTTCAAGGCTGGATTATTGTAACTCCTTATTATCAGGGTGTAAAATGGGCTTTTATTAATCCCTCGTGGGGAAATTGTTTCTCTGCATTTGACCCACCCTAGTGTTAGGAGCAGTGTGCTGCCATTTTGAACGGCGCCCGGGGAGCAGTGTCGGGAACGGTGCCTTGCTCAGGGACACCTCGGTAGCACTTGGTCTTGCCGGGACTTGAACTGGTGTCCTTACAGTTGCCAAGCCAAGTCCCTATCGACTTCGCCACCACCGCCTGTACCAAGAAGTCAGTCAAGTCGCTTCAGCTGATTCAAAATGCTGCAGCTCGTGTACTAACCAGAGTTAGGAAAAGGGACCACATTACTCCTGTTCTGGCTGCCTTACACTGGCTCCCTATAGAACACAGGATAGAATTAAAAATTCTTCTTCTCGCCTACAAAGCCCTTAATGGGCAGGCGCCATCTTACCTTAAATAACTCATTATACCCTACTATCCTACTAGGGCATTGCGTTCCAAGAATGCAGGGTTGTTGGTTGTTCCTAGAGTCTCTAAAAGTACAATGGGAGCCAGAGCCTTTTCTTATCAAGCTCCACATTTGTGGAATCAGCTTCCAGTTTGTGTTCGGGCAGCAGACACCCTATCCGTTTTTAAGAGTGCGCTTAAGACCTTCCTTTTTGATAAAGCTTATAGTTAGGGCTGATTAGATTCAGCCCCTAGTTTTGCTGCTATAGGCTTAGACTGTCGGGGGACACCTTACTTCTTCCTTCTCTCTCTCTGTACCTGTGTACTCTCATGTTCCGATTAACCCAGCTTCCCCACATTACTTTTTGGTGTCTATCTATGCAGGGATCCGGAGTCATGGCTGATCCTGTTGCTGTGGTCCTGAGTCCTGGATCGCGAGCCCTGGATCTTGAGTCGTGGCTGTGGTCCTGGATCATAAGTCCTGGATGGATATCCTCGTGGATTCATCTTCCTATTATAGACACATGCATTTCCAAATATTTGGACTACCTATGTTGCAAATGTATTATCTTTTCAATTTACACACGGCATCTGGGAGAGGGATCCCTCCTCTGTTGCTCTCCCTGAGGTTTCTCCCATGTTCCCCTTTAAACTGTGGGGTTTCTCTGGAAGTTTTTCCAGGGTCTATCCGGTCTAAGGATTGTCATACTGATATTCTGTACAAACTGTGAAGTCCACTGAGACAAATGTAACATTTGTGATATTGAGCTATATAAATAAACATTGATTGATTGATAATTGAATAAACGTCATGACGCCAAACATTAGCCTCCTTTAGCTTAGCGATGGTAAAATGAAGTCATGCGACCGTGATCAAGTTCCTTTATAGCCAACACCCTTTTACTCCTGCGATTGCATTTACGCTTCAGTTAAGCTTCATGTGTTGTTAATATCTAAAGATTATCCTGCTGAACAAAACACGTAAATGTGTGTTTGCCAAAAAGCTTATTTTCTGTAATATACCATAATCCAATAAGGGAACCCCATTACTTTTTGTTTAGGGACCCCTTGCGATGCTAATTTCCAGGTTAGCTTACAAAAATACGTCATCACTGCGCTACTCTATTTGAAAACTAGCTATGGTTGATGCTAGCTCGTAGCAAGAAACCCTTTCTGCTTTGAGAGGAGCATACCTTACCTAACACTGTGGATATGTACTAAAAGTTACAGGGGGAGGATGCTCCCACCAAACTTCAGTTATTACCGCTCTAGAAGTGACTCACTGAACATTTATTTTGGTCATTACAGCTGACAACGGCTTATTTACAGTCCAATTTATATTCTCTCCTTTTTTTGTCATGCCATTTTTGGTCCTGGAAAACTTTTTAACAATTAGAAGTGGATAATAAGTTACACAAGTTTGAGAATCCCTGCAGTGGAGGGGCCAAACGCTGGAAGTATAGTCCCCAAGAAATGCATTATATACCTCAGTTTTTTTAAACTGATTTTAGAGATTGCAAATGCAATTTCTAAAATCTCTCTTCGGGAATCAATGGGTCTGAGAGCCACAGTATGAGTAAGCAAGATGGAAAGTTCTGAGAGACAGGCTTACATTGATTTAAGTCTTTTAATTGGATTGAAAATGAACAGGGGCCTAATAGCTTGTTTTTATTGGGGCCCCCGCCAGGTTAATGAGGTCTGAAATGGCCTTGGGCTGGATCAGGTTCGCTACTCTCAGAGGGCAAACAGGAGGAAAGAAAAACACTTTTAAATCCAACAACTTCTATTCTAAGCACATACCTTGCAGATGTCAAGTCCAATACACTTTGGTTAAGTCTCAGCACAACAGAGATTAGGGACTGACGGTAATTACTCCCACAGCAGAGACCCCACAGGTGCACACTTGTTAGCATTGGACACGATTTACTCATGAATTATTTTGATCAGGAAGCAGCTTTCTGTCTGGATCATTTGTTCTGGCAAGAAGAAGCCCATCACATTAAATCTGGAGAGGACCGTTGGCTCGTCTGTTCTATAAAGAGAGGCAAATTCATCCAAAAGAAAAACAGCCACAAGGACTGCTCATCGTTTTGTGTCTTTTCCTCTGATGAGCAAACTCTCAGAAAGATTGCTGCGAGCCAGCTTTACAATTTTTACAATTTGTTTGTACAATAGAGGAGCACTACAGAACAAATGGTTTATGTAAACCGTAGAGATGTGGGTCTTCTCAGACAGATTGCTTTCTTTATGCAGCAAATCTTTTGTGTGTTGTATCTGTAGCTTTGGACAAGCATCCTATTTGTTTCCCAACTTAATTGTCAGATGCAATTATCTTAAGTTTTTACTTTTTAGCTTGTGATTACTTCAAAATCAAGTGATGTCAACGTGCTTGTTTTATTAGAATTATGTTCTAAAAGCCTGACACATTAATACGATTTAAAAAGGCTTAGATTAGAGTAACATGGAGGAGGCGTGTGGTGCAGTGGGTTGTGCGTTGGTGTTCGGATCAGGGGGCAGAGGTTCAAACCCCACTGCAGTCAGCATGTCGTTGTGTCCTTGAAGACACTTCACCTCAAATTGATCCTGTGTTGATTGCCCACAGTATTGAGTATGTAAGTCGCTTTGGATAAAAGCGTCTAACAAGTGACATGTAATAATAATGTAACATCTGAATACTTTATAATGTTAGGTTACAGAAACAGGTTTTTCCAGCTTTATTTATCCTGTTTATTTTATCACGACTGCACAGATTTATGTTTTGTTGCTGTCAGGGAAACTGACTAAACCAAATCATCTGAATATGAAGTTGAAGTAAACAAATGCCTTTTCAAATAGTCTATTGTACTGAGAAAATATTTATACACATATTTGTACGTGAGGTTAGAAAGAAAGTATCTCTGTAAAAATGATTGAACCATTCTTCGTTTGCTATCCCATCAAAATGGGAGTTTATTGACAAAGCGAGTAATCACTGCAGCCCAGTTTTACAATTTGAACTGTTTTGTTGCACAATACAGGAGCACTGCAGAACAAATGGTTTATTTAAACCTGAGTCACATCAGTCGGCACAGATTGTTATTTCTGCAAAAGGGGATTTTATGGTGTGTGTTATTTCTGTAGCTGTGGATATAAATCCTATTTGTTCCCCAACGTAATTGCATAGCTCCAAGCATGAGCAGTCAGAGGCAATTATCTGAAGTTTCCAAAACCTTTTAGCTTGTTGTCACAAAGTAAGTTATGTCTACATGGGAACACATGATCGGTCGCGTGTTGCATTTGATTTTTTTCTAAAACGCCCAAAACCTGATGAATAATCCAACACAACCATTTAACCCTTAGATGCATAAGTGGGTCTTCTTTGACCCGGTGAGGTGGTTTTCTTTAATTATCTTTGTAATAACTTTTTGTTATCATTTCATATTCCAGCTATTCCTCAAAGAACATGTTTTGGATATCAAGCCATTCACATTTTAAATTTAAATTTTAAGAAATTGTAGTTTTTGTATTTCTACCCCAAGCTTCCATAAGTGGGTCAAAAATGACCCGCATGCATTTTCTATGGGATCCTTCGATTCTTATCACCTGTGGCTGTCAGGAATACATTCACTGTGGACCACAGACGACATCACAAGTGACACCTCTCAGGAAGATTATTTCACACCGCAAGATCTGATACCTGTCAGTATAATAATAATAATACATTATATTTGTATAGGGCTTTTCAAGGACTCAAAATCGCTTTACAATCTAAAGGAAGGTTAGGGTGGGGGGTATAGGACTATCAAACTTGATCAACCGGCATGGATTGATGGGGGGGGGCTACGAGTAGACAAGAGGAGAAGAGATGAGTTTTGAAAAGGGACTGGGATACTGTGAGGGTCTCAGAATAGCGGAGATCTTTGCATCGATATGTTCAAAACGTTTTTTTTCTAAATGTAAAAAAAATGTCAAATTATAAATAGTGAAAAATTAACTATAAAATATTTCTAGTGTGAATCAAAATATAATACTAAATATTATCTTAGCCAAAATGACAAAAATGGCATAAAAACACATATTATTCTAATACGGTTCCTTTTAGACCCACTTATGGAAGAGAGTAGTCACTAAGGGCATCTAAGGGTTAAAGCAAAGACTATAAACATCTGAATAATTGACAGAATGAGAGGGGGCAGAAGCAGGTTTTACCTTCTATTTCTTGTTTATTTGATCATGACTGCACAGATTTCCAGTACAGGAGGTTAGAGAGAAACTAGCTCTGTAGAATGATTCATCTTCTCTCCAATTGTTTCTATCAAAATGGGAGTTTATTGACAACAGCTATTACTGCAGCCCAGTTTGACATGTTTTGCCATTCTTTAGAAACCACGAGCACTGCAGAACAAATTGTTCATTTAAACCTGAGTCACCGTCACAGACAGATTATCTTGGTGTGTGTTATTTCTGTGGACATAAATCCTATTTGTTCCCCAACGTAATTGCATGGTTCCGTGAATATGCAGTCGATTATCTGAAGTTTTCTTAGCTTGTTGTCACTTTCAAATATCTACTTATGAAACTGACATCGATTGCTTGTTTAAGTGAGGTATGGTAAATGACGCACTCATCAATATAATGGAAAAGTCAACGGAACATCTGAAGGATTGACAGGATGTGAGCTTTTCTCTCCTGTTAACCCTGCACACATTCATTGTTGTGGGGAGGCGTGTGGCGCAGTGGGTTGTGCGTTGGTGTTCGGATCAGGGGGGTCACAGGTTCAAACCCCACTGCAGTCAGCATGTCGTTGTGTCCCTGAGACACTTCACCTCAAATGACTCCTGTGGGGATTGCCCACAGTATTGAGAATGTAAGTCGCCTTGGATAAAAGCGTCTAACAAGCATGTAATGTAACGTTGTGGCTGTCAGGGAAACACTGATGTAAACAAAAGTAAACACACGTTCTATACAATTGTCTATTGTATTGAGAAACTGTGCATGGACATATTTGCAGCAGGTGCATGAGGTTAGAAAGAACTGCTCTGTAAAATGATTTATCCTTTCTCTATTTTTCTTTTTTCTATCTCGGAATGGTTTCTGTAAACATGCTGCTGCGTCACAACATCTTAGGAGCTTTTCTGTCAAATAAAACGCAATAAACAGAAAGGAAACAGCTGGAATGAAGGAAATAAAACATAGTGTTTATACTGTGGAATAGGCTTTACTCGTACACTAAAAACGTCCCGAAACAGGCTCTTCTCTTCCAATCATTCACAGATTTATTAGATCATTACCATCATTGGGGGTGATATGGTGCCAAGCCATGGCACCATATCAACCCCACCCTCATCCACCTACATTGGCTGCCGGTCAAGTCCCGGATTCAATACAAAACACTCATCCTCACGTACAAGTCCCTCCATTCCCTCGCCCCCCAGTACTTATCG